AGAGTGGGGAGGGTCAGAGGGAGAAGCAGACTCCCCGTCGAGCAGGGAGCCCGATGCGGGACTCGATCCCGGGACTCCAGGATCATGACCTGAGCCGAAGGCAGTCGCTCAACCAACTGAGCCACCCAGGCACCCCCCTTATGCCCCTTTTTTGTCAGTCAACCCCCACTGCTAATTCCACACAACTGGTGATCTGCTTTTTGTCAGTATAGATTAGCTGCTTCTAGAATTTCATTTAAACGGAATTATACATTTGCAATTTTTGTTTTGTTTTGGGCTTCTCTTGCTTAGTATGTTTTCTGAGGTTCATCCCTGTTGCTTATATCAGTAGTTTTTTTTATTGTTGAGTAATAGTCCGTTGTATGTATATACCTCAGTTTGTTTATCCATTCACCTGTGATCAACATTTGATTTGCTTCTAGTTTTTGGCTGTTATGAATAAAACTGCCATGAGCTTTCAAGTAAAGTCTTTGTGTAGACATATATTAGCATTCCTGTTGAGTTACATACCTGGGAGTAGAATTGCTTGACATATAGTAATAAGTGTATATTTAACTTTATAAGAATTTACTAAGCTTTTTGCTCCCAGTAAACATGGGAGATTCATTTGCTCCAGATCATTACCAACACTTTGTATTGTCAGTCTTTTTGACATTAGCATTCTTGTGCTTGTATGGTAGTACCTCCTTATGATTTTATTTATATTTCCTTAATGACTCATGATGTTGAGCATCTTTTTCAATGTTCATTGGCCATTTGTATATCTTCTGCCAAGTGTTCAGATTTTTTGTCTATTTTTAAATTGGGCTATTTGTATTTAAGTTGTAAGAACTTTTATATTTTGGGGACAGAAGTACTTCTCAGATATCTATCTCTATTGATATCTAATATATTTTCCTGGTCTGAGGATTAATAATTTCTTTAGAAAAACATAAGTTTTCAGTTTTGAGGAAGTCCAATTTATCAATTATTTTTCATTTGGGATTTGTACTTTTTCTGTACTAAGAAATTTTATCCATCCAGGGGCTGTGAAGATTTTCTCCTCTGCTTTCTTTTAGAAGTTTTATATAGTTTTGTCTTTCATATTTAAGTCTATGATCTATTTTAAGTTAATTTTAGGGTGTGTCATAAGGTAAAGGTGGAGGTTCATTTTTTTATCCACATGAATTTACAGTTCCAGTGCCATTTGTTGAAAAGACTATTTCTTATTAAATTGGCACTTCTGTTGAAAATAATTGATAATATATTATTGCATGGAATATTCCTGAACTCATTTTTTCTATTGATTTATATATCTTTATACTAATACACTGTCTTGACAAGTTTTATGGTAAGACTTTAAATCAAGTACCATTAAGTTCTACAACTTTTTTCTACTGTTTCAAAAATTATTTTATCTATTTTAGTTCTTTTGCATTTTGATAATACATTTTAGAATCAGCTTGTTAATTTCTGTGGAAACGCCGTCTGAGATTTTGATTAGGATTGTGCTGAATCTGTAAGTCACCTTGGGGAGAAGTGACAACTTAATTAGTTTGTAATGTGGTATATTTATCTGCTTATCTAGACCTCTGAATTTTCACAGCAATATTTTTTATTTTCATACCAAAGGTTTTGCATATATTTGTTAAGCTTAGCCCTATTTCATGGTTTTAGATGCTGTGTCTTATAAATCTTTAAGCATTTAAAAAGTATTTTCATTTATTGATTGCTAATACATAGAAGCACAGTTGATTTTTTGTATATTAACCTTGAATTCTGTGGAATCTCTAAACACATTCCATATAATTTTTTTATAGATTCCTTAGGATTTTCTGCATAGATGATCATGTTTTCTACTAATAGAGATGGTTTTACTTTTTCCTTTCCAATCTGAATGCCATTTATTTATTTTCCTTATCTTACTACATTGGTCAGGACCCAGAGTAAAATTCTGAAGTAGTGATAATGGGCGAAAGCACTTAGTCTTTACCATTATGTATGATGTTAGCTATATGCTTTTCATAGAAACCCCCTGTTAGGTCAAAGGAATTCCCTTCAGTACTTAGGTTTTTGAGAGCTTCTTCGTGTTTATTTTTGTCAGATGCTTTTTTTTTTTTTTGCATTTCTTGAGAATCATTGGTGCCTTTTTTTCTGTTAATATGATAGATCTCATTGATCTTCAAATGTTAAAAGTCTTTCATTCTTGATGTAATTCCCACTTGATTCTGATGTATTTTTTTATATGTAGGTAATAAATTTGTTAAGGAATTTTGAGCCTATAATCATTAGGGAGTTTGTAGTTTTTTTCTTTTTCTTTTTTCTTTTAATGTCTTTGTCTGGTTTTGGTATCAGGCTAATGCTGGCTTTATAAAATGAGTGAGGGATTGCTCTTTCCTCCGTTTTCTGAAAGAGTCTATGTAGAGTTAATATCATTTCTACTCCAGATGTCTATTAGAATTCACCAGTGAAGCCATCTGGGCCTGGAGTTTTCTTTGTTTTAAATATGTTTTAAATATTTAAATGGGAATATTTAAAATAGCAAATTCAATTTCTTTAATAGATGCAAGGCTACTCAGGTTTTATATTGCTGTTGTGGTTTTTTTTCCCCCTTTCAAGGAATTTGTTTATTTTAATTAAGCTGTTGAATTTATAGATGTAAAGTTGTTTATAATATTCCCTTATCTTTTTAACATCTGTAGGATCTAAGGTGGTATTCCAATTTTCAAAGAACAGGTATTGGTTTCATTGTTTTTTATCTATTCTGTTTCATTGATTTCCCCTCTATTTCTTTGCTTTTGTTTACTTTGGGTACTTTTTCTAGTTTATGATTGTAGCTTAGATTATTATAAAATGAGATTATTTATGAAGCAAGACTGGACATGAGTTGATAATTGTTATAGGTGGATGATGGATACATGGAGTGTTACTTCATTATACTATTCTCTAAATTTATGTATATATTTGACATTTTATATAATACTTTAAATTTTACATAAAGCAAATGAGGGGCACTTGGGTGGCTCAGTTGGCTAAGTGTCAAAATCTTGATCTCAGCTCAGGTCTTGATCTCAGGGTTGTAAGTTCAAGCCCTATGTTGGCCTCCACACTGGGTGTGGAGCCAAATAAATAAATAAATAAACCTGACTACATAGTAATTTTTTTTCACATTTATATGCCTATTGACATTTATCTTTACCTGATTGTTTCATGCATTGGTAAGCTATTTTAGGATGGCTCTATAGAATTCCTCAATAATTAGGACTTTTTATAACTTTTAGTGGTTCTTTGTGTTTTGGGGTAGGGAGAGAAAAGTGACATGAATCTTGAAGCTGTAAGCTCTTCAAGAAATTGGGATACCTCACAAACTGTAATGGGGAAAAGAATGAGCAGTATGTCAGTGTTTATGGAAAAGCAAATTGATACATGGTCAGTAACAATATAGTATCAACAGTTATCCATTCCTTGATAGTTCCCACAAGGACAAATTTTGCTAACAAAAAAATCTGAAATAATGATAAAATTGTAACATTGATTTAGTATAGTTGATGGGTAACAGGTATTTTCATTATGTTGTGTGAATTTCTTGTGCTCCCTGCCTTCGTCCCCACCAAAATTTGTTATTACATTGCTTTTTAATTATAATCATCCTCATGTACCGATATATAGGTATCAGAGAAAAATAGATGCACAAATGCTCTATATATTTTCTTAGGAGTAGAGTTGTGCATATCACATAGTTTCTTCTGTACCTTTTTGTGTGTTTTGTATTGTTTCGTCTTGCCTTGTTTTTTTGTTCTGGAAATTTTTGTTGGTGACTGAACCTGGATGGCATGTTGGTAACTTTTAAAAAAAAAATTTCTCAAGAGTAACATTGATATTTAGTCAAATACATGAACATCGCCAGTTATATGGATTCTTTTGGTGTCAATAAATTCTCATGCTAATCTGTAGTTGATCTCTATTTCTTATTCCCACTCAACCATCCATAGCTATATACCAAAATAATAATAATAATAATGGTAGCAATGGTAATAGTAATAGTAGTAATAATGGTACATTTTATGGTGCTTGTGCTCTCGAAAAAGTTGGGGAGAGTGAATTCTTTTTATTTTGCTTTACTTTAAAAATAAACCTCTATCCACAAACAGAAACATGAATGGACTTATATTCTATAATATTCATATTATCTGGATTCATTGGTAGAAGTATAAAGAAGAGGCTACCTAACCAGAGAGAAGGGGTAGGAAAGGGATCTTTTCATTCATTCTAATATGAATATAGATACCCCATTTTTTGAAGGAGTGTAAGTCTCATGGATTTCAGGAGCTTTGCTTTGCTACTATAAAACCATTATATCAGATTAGTAATCCTGAATTATACT